CTTCACCATCAGTGTCGCAGTTTCCAGTTTCTCGTCTCCAAAATGAGCGTACGCATGGGTCAGAGCTGGCGTGAGGCACCGCACATTTTCACGTCAAGTTTGGATTTTATAAATCACAACCTTGGCGTAAAAAGTGGCGTACGCAAGTTTCTGGGCTCAAATTGTGCGTACGCCAGTTTTATAAATCTGACCCCTGGTCTGTTCTTTGATTTTCACAATTTTTAAAGTTCATTATTCTTTTGAACTGCGTTAGAGAGAAGCTGCAGCCACCAGATGCTGCCGGTGACGCTGGCCCAGCTGAAGCAGAGCCACCCGGATGGATCTCACCACGTCAGAGTCCAGCTCAGGTCCTTCGAGCCTCGCAGACTCTACCAGGCCCTGAAACTCTTCTGCAACAAGTGTTCATCACTGTAGGCTCAACACAGACACGCTCCACCTCACTGAGTATTTACAGAGATTAACGTTCAGCTTTCATCTGTTTCACCTGTTCAACCATATCAGAGGAATTTACACTCAACAGATTTACTGCAGAGGATCCAGCAGGATGTTTGTCTGGATTTAAAGGAATAGTTTGGATCTTCTGAAGTGTGGTTCTGTCAAAAGGGTATGAAAAGTTAATATGTTACTTGCTGGAGAAGGTTTTTCAAACTCTACAGTTTGAGAAATTGAGACTAAAGGCTAAAACCAAAGTGGATGTTTTACTTATTTACAGTTTAAAGTTCTCCACAATGGATTTCAGTCATCTGTAAAACTTAAGGGAGAAAAACCTTTTTTTGTTGTTGTTACAGTCTCATTTAAAATTGTCTAATGTAATGACACATGATTAAATAGACAATGCTTTCAACAAATGAAATGAACCCCAGAGCAACAGTTTTATCCAATCAGAGCAGAGCAGGCCGGGTCTTCCTGATGCACTGTTAGGCCAGGTGCAGCAGAGACAGGCTGATTGGGCAGACCTGTCCTCCCACTCGTCACTCCTGAGCTACTCAAGACTTTAGTGTCTAAAATCCAACATTAAATTAAATGTTTTTGTGTTCATTATTGAACAGATACATCCAGCTTTGCACGTGTGACCAAACTCATCTGCTCCTGAAAGAGTGCTGCCACATGATGGCGCTGCTGCGCACAGGCTGAGTCTTTCTGTGAGGTTTACTGTTTCAGTTCCTCCAAATGAAACAATATCAACCAACAGACAAATGGTTTTGTAGTTTATCAAACATCTACAAGTTTCCTCATTCACAATATTATAGGGTGTTTTAAGCTTGTTTATATTTACAACCATACTGTGACTGAACTGCTCTGTATCTGATGCAACCTGGGGACACTTCTGGTAGAAATATAGTATTTCTGTTAAAATAACTTTTATAAACAACAAACAGTGATGTCAGGGTTTAAACAGGAGTGTCTGAATGAACCACTGTGAAATTATAAAGCCTTTAGTTTTATGATGAATTTATTTTAGATGTGGATCCACTGAAACCTGTTGTTGTTGGTTTTGGCCACATTTGGACCGGTCTTTAACTCATCAGTCCTGTCAAATGTCAATTTTATCTCTAACAGCTAGGGATGGGTACCGAATTCAATACTTTTTTATGTACAGACCGAATTCTGTCAGTACTACCGAGGATCCATTCATGTAACATCAAACATGTTTCGTACCATGTTTCTGTACCTAAACGCATCGTTGCGACTGGTTTGGTGTAAGAGTGGTGAGTGGTGAGTGATGCTGTGTTCAGGACAAGCATGGAAAACTCACATGCTTGTCCTGAATGCAGCATCATGCAAAAGCGTAATAACGTTAGCAGCAGCAGCCGCTGGTTCAGTCAGTAAACAGAGGCAGCAGAGCTCGGTCTGAACGTAGCTTGAAAGCCTCGCAGCTCCTGGAGTAAAACTTGCCGAACAGATCGCCTCTGAATTATCTGGTGGATTAATTATCTTGTGAACACGAAGTTCGCTTGCTCAAAGTAAATAAATTACAGCCACTTTCTTTATTTCATCCACCATTAAACAGACCGACAGAGGAAAACAACAGAGGGGCTTCCTGACAGTCTGAACTCGTCTGACCTAAAGAGCACAAGCAGCCAACAAGTGTTGGACAGGTTTTGGATGCTCAAAACGTAGCTTAAATACCTTTTATTTTAACTCAATCCTCTTTTGCTTATTTGATTTAAACTTATTTGCCTTCCATTGACCTTAATCACGTAATTTTTCTAGCGGGGAAATGACATCAATAGAAACACGTGGAGCTGGATTTTAATTTGTGCAATAAGACAAAACAGTCTTGTTGTTTTCAACAGTTTTCACCTTAAAGAAAAAAGTTACACAACTGATGTTACAATACAAAGAGTTGGATGTTGTCTTGATATTTGTTAGTTTTATATAT